TGGATATATGTTGTGTATTTTGGCCTTGGAATAGTGGAGTCTGAGTAGTGTTTTAAATTGTATAAGACAGTGTCTGGCGTTGTATGAGCATTTGTGTATGTGTTCAAGACTTTTTTGGCATTGTAAAAAAGTATTTCTATATATTTTGTAAATTATGTATGACAGGATTACGATAGTAGATTGATTTATCAACTGAAGTGGGAGCTATGAGTATAGCACCAATAGAGAAGGGTGTAGATGTTTCTTACCTATCCTATGTGATTTGTAATACCACAAGAAAGGAATTATTATGGAGTCTCATCTCTTAAAGAATGACTTTGTCAGAAAAATAGGGATATTTTGCCTTAGATATAATATTTGAGATAAAAAAAAGATCATCTTAGAGATCTTTGAGATCACTCTGCCAACTAGGGAGATGAGAAGAGTTTTACTTTTTAATGTGTCTATTAGGGAGTAGAAGTTGGCCTGCAGTTGGCATTTTTTTGTTGCTGTCTTAAATGGAAATTGTTCAAAAGCTTTTAGAAAGGTCAAATTGACTGGCAACAATATACTTGAATTCCAATTAATACTGTATCCTGAAAATGTACCAAAAAAATCAATTTTCTCTAAAACAGCTGATATAGTAGTTTGCAGTTTTGTTATATATAGAAGAACATCATCTGCATATCATGATATGTTGTTTGTTTTTTCTTTTGTATCATAGCCACAGATGTGCAGGTCTCATCGAATACTCTGGGCAGGTGGCTCTTTGATAGAGGGCAGCTTTGTCTTGTTCCTCTAAGTGTAAAGGGAGGCTAAGTGTCAGATTTGTAAGATTATGTGCTTTTGGATTCTTATAGAGAAGTTTGATCCATGCTAGAAAGTTAAGTCCAAGATTGAATCTCAGTAGGACTTCAAATAAATATGACCATTCAATCTGATCGACTGTTTTTTCAGCATCAAGCCCAAGTATGACTAGGTCCTTATTTCCTTTCCTTTTTGTCTATATAATATTAAAAAAGATGTCTTCAAGTAAAGAATTTCTGTTGGGTATGAAGCCTGTTTGATCCATATGCACCAATTGGTTTAATAAAGGGTTTGTTCTATTGGCTAAGGTTTTAGCAAACAACTTTCCGTCTACATTCAGTGGAGAGATCAGGCGATATGAGCCTATCTCTTGCACATCTTTACCTTTTTTGGAAAACACGGTAATTACTGCTTCTGTTAAGGTTGGTGGGACAGTGCCTCTAACTGGGCTTTTGTTTACATTCTATGTAAGTATGGCAATAGAATTTTATTGAATTTCTTGTACAGTTCATTCGAAATCCCATGCAGGCCTGGTGTTTTTTTTTTGTTTTGTTTTTTTCACTTTTCAAATACATAATGGGTTTTTGAATCTCTATAATACTGAGTTCAGAAGTGAGGTCTTTACATTCTTCTTCACTTATTTTAGCATGATTACATTTATCTAGAAATTTATTCATAACTGAAGGTTCTATGGTGCACTTAGGTGTGTACAGATTACCTATCATTTATGTCCTTGGGTTTGGTCAATATAGTTCCATTGTTACTTTTAATCTTATTTATCATTCTATCACTCTCTACTTTCCTAAGTTGCCGTGCTAGTAATTTGTGTAGTATTTTTTTTCAAAGTATTTTTGTTTGGTGAATAGAAATGCTTTGCTTATTTTTGTTGAAAGTATTTGATTGTATTGATATTTCAAAATTGTTATTTTCCTGTGTAAGTCAAGTTTGGAGATAAAAAGGTGCTTGCATCAGATATTGAGTGACATGTAATATTACCTGTAAACATAAAATCAAATTCAGGGAGTTGCTTCAGATATTGAGTAATAAGTGATGTAAAGGGTTAATTCGAGGTACTACAAATGCTTTTTAATTCATTAACTTAAAAAAGGGTCCCCTCCTCCGCCCTGAGGCAACACGCCTTGATTTATATTGCAACTATAGGTTAGTCTAGAGTGTGTGTATTTGAAGTAGCCTAGTTGAAATGGTACTCCGCTTATATACAAGGCATAATAATGGTATTTTGATTTAATGTTAATTTGTATTTTTAATTGGATGTTAAGAATCAATTTTGATCATAATGGGAAGAGTATGTGTCAATCGCGCTTAACATATCAAAGTATAAGACCTCGTATAAGAAAAGCATTAAGTTTCCTCCAAAATAACATAATGAGACTATTTTACAACTAGAGAGAGTCCGCCTTATCAAATCCACCCTCTTTGGCCAGATAAATACGAGCGCACTAGGCGCGGCTCGCTCTCTTGTTACTCTCTTTGTTACTCTCTTGCTTCTTGTATTTTCCATCCTCTTGTAATTTCTGCTTTTTGTATTCTTGCTCTTTTGTTGCGCTCTTCTTTACTTTAGTCTCTTGCTTTAATGTTTGCGTACACTCTTTTGTTTTTACTTTATCTACTTGTTCATGCGTAACTCTTTTGTGCTCACGGTCAAAGTTATTTTAAACTTTTAAATTTTGCTTACTCAGTTTTCTTTTATCTCCAGTATTCAACATTTTTGCGCATTAATAATAACTTTGACAACAATATCAAAAGGCCAACGATATTGTTTTCACCATAATTATAAGCGAGTAATCATAACAAAGCAGACCAGCACCTGCTGATCGACCTCTTTGCCCCAGATTCATCAGAACCAGTGGCTGCCAACCACTCATCACTGGGGTTCTTGTGCCAAACCCCAAAGACTGCGCAGCGCAAGGGAAACGACGTTCTGGGCCAACTGCAGGACACCGCAGACTCAACCACTCCCACACTGCTGTATGACAGCCGGCTTCATCCTGCTGGAAAGTCCGGGAGCCGCGAAGCAACAGTCCGGGGCCCCAAGAGGAACTTCGCCTTTGATCCCCGCTGCTAAAAGTAGGCAAAGAGCTTCCACTGCTCACCTGGCGCTGTAATGTGCTAACAGTGTCCAAATGAAAAGTGGCTGATCTTTCCATTTCTTGCTATTAGTGTTGCTATTAGTTGCCGATGTTTTGAGATGGATGTTAGCAACTCTCCTCTAGCCGTAGCTATTTCTCCTCTTAAAACCAGGTATACATCCTTAAAATGGCGGTCGATGGCATTTTTTAATTTGGGTCACCTCATTCCGTAGTGCTGTGATGGCAGCTGGCACTGCTCTGTTGGGTGGGTCCTCTTCTTCATTAGCCTCGCCCAGCATCTTCTGGTTGGGCGAGCATGGTGCTTGGTCTGGGCCCTGTTTGCTTTGCTCATTTTTCTTATTTCTAGGCTTTACCATGTCAAATTATGTAGCTTGCGGGTGGACATAGTTGTGTTTTTGTATGTATTAAAGTGTTAATTTGTTGGAGCTAAAAGGAAGCGGGTGTTACTCCTCCACTGCCTGAAAGCGCCCTCCTGCACATTTTATTCTTTTACTAGTCCAGATAATAAAGTTTCCGAAAATTAGAATTAATGTTTAATTACATTAAACGTTAACTTAATGTTAAATATATGTTTCACATTATGCAACAGCAACGAGTTGGATGTTTGATGTGACGAGGAAAAGATGATTCTGTCTGATGAATCCTGCTGTTGGTCATTGAGTGTGAAGAGTCACTCTACTTTAGGTGGACGTCTCAGTTTTTAAGGTGGACTTCAAAATAAATTAATAATGACTTGTGCTGTATGTCAGTGTTACCCGATTTTACCCCTTACCTGAAAAATTCTCCAGTGCTCCTTACCTAAAATACCCCATGATACCCCTTATCTAAAATATTTTATGATGCCTTTACCTGAAATATTCTCCAATACACCTTGATTAAAAAAACTCATGGTACCCTTTACATGAGATACTCTGCCGTACCCCGTACTCAAAATACACCACGGTACCCCTTCCTAAAATATTCTACAGTACCCCTTGCCAAAAATACCCCATTGTTCCCCTAACCTGAAATATTCTACAGTATACCTAAAACACCCCATGGTATCCCTAATCCAAAATATTCTATGATGCCCCTTACCTAAAGTATTCTACAGTACCCCTTCCCTAAAATACTCATGGTACCCCTAACCTAAAAAAAATCTACAGTGCCACTCACTTAAAATACCCTATGTTACCCCTAATCTAATATATTTTATGATGCTCCTTACCTAAAATATTCTCCAGCATCCCTTACCTAAGACACCCCATGGTACCCCTTAGTTAAAATACTTCATCTTATCCATTACCTAAAATACCCCATGTTAACCCTTAGAAAAAATATCATAGTACACACTAAGTAAAATATTATAATGCGTATTGGCTCAATCATTGAATAGTACCCCTGCCAAAAAAAATCATAGAACACTAACTAAAATATTCCATGGTACCCTTATAAGATTGCATGGCCCCACTCATATAACATAGTACCTTTACATACAGTAGCCCATGGTACCCCTTACTTACATTATCACATGCTACCCATTCTATGGTATCCTTGACGTGCTAAAGTCCTTTGTGCTCCTTCCTTAAAAAGCTTCATGGGACCCCTTCACCTCCGTATTCAGTGCTGCCTATTTCATGATACCTGTTATGGTACTTAAAATGTTCCATGGTACATGTTACTTTTAATATTTCAGGGCACCTCTTTCATGAAATAGTTTGTTACCCACCATCTTCACCATTCCATGGTAACTGCTTTTCCATAATATGCCATGGTACCCTTTCCTACAATATTACAGTTTACCCCTTCACTGCAGTATGTAGTGATACCTCATTATTACATGCAGCCAGTTCTGTTGCAGCCCTTTTGATACATACTGCCCACTAAATTATATTTTAACTTCTCTACTACATTCAACCTATGAACAAACTACTTTTGAACATAAACATGCTTCTGCAACAACCTGCTGCAAACTCTCAGTCTACATACCCAGCAGTGAATCAGTACTTTGGTATGAGACACACCTGTGTTACAGGTTCAGCAACACCTTTTAGCAGAAGGGGTGTGACAAAACTCCACTCTTCACCTGACTCTTCAGAGAGAATGCAGGAAACAGTATGTTGTCCTTCGTCACTGAAGAGAGACACAGACTGAAGGACAGACGATCAGATTCACCTTCAGACCAAACTAACAACTTCCTCTGAGTGAGTTCAGCTAAAACTCCAACACTGCTGCTTCAACCTGCTGACACTCCACACACTGAAGGTGAGTTTGACTAAAAACACCACTCAAAGTCAAAGTAAATTTCAGTGAAGTTAGTAGAGGAGGGAGGGGAGCCATGACTGACTGTACTTTCTGTCTGCTGTGTTTTCAGCTTCACTCAGAGACTAAATGGCTTCCAGATCAGAGGAGGATCTCTGCTGTCCGGTCTGTCAGGACGTCTTTAGACATCCTGTTCTTCTGTCATGTAGCCACAGCTTCTGTAAAGACTGTCTGAAGCGCTGGTGGAAAGACAAACAAACAAAGGAGTGTCCACTTTGTAAGAGAAGATCTTCAAAAGAACCACCTTTAAACCTGGCGTTAAAGAACCTGTGTGAGGCCTTCTTACAGGAGAGAGATCAGAGAGCTTCAGAGGCTCTCTGCAGTCTGCACTCTGAGAAACTCAAACTCTTCTGTCTGGACCATCAGCAGCCAGTTTGTCTCGTCTGCAGAGATTCAGACAAACACACCAAGCACAGATTCAGACCCATTGATGAAGCTGCACGACAACACAAGAAGGAAGTTGAGGAAACTCTGGAACCCTTAAAGGAGAAGTTAAAGGTTTGTGAACAAGTTAAAGTGAAGTGTGAACAAACAGCAGAACACATGAAGGTCCAGGCCCGACGCACAGAGAGGCAGATTAAGGAGCAGTTTAAGAAGATTCACCAGTTTCTAGAAGAGGAAGAGGAGGCCAGGATGGCTGCACTGAGGGAGGAAGAGGAGCAGAAGAGTCAGATGATGAAGGAGAAGATGGAGGCTCTGAGCAGAGAGATAGCAGCTCTTTCAGACACAGTCAGAGCCACAGAGGACGAGCTGAGAGCTGAAGACGTCTCATTCCTGCTCAACTACAAGGCTGCAGTGGACAGAGTCCAGCAGCGCCCCCTGCTGGATGATCCACAGCTGCTCTCAGGAGCTCTGATAGACGAGGCCAAACACCTGGGCAACCTGACCTTCAACATCTGGAACAAGATGAAGGACATGGTCTCTTACACTCCTGTGATCCTGGATCCAAACACTGCTTGTCCATATCTCATCCTGTCTGAAGATCTGACCAGTGTGAGACGAGCAGAGGAGGAGCAGCAGCTTCCTGATAATCCAGAGAGGTTTGATCAACACTGGTCTGTCCTGGGTTCTGAGGGCTTTAACTCAGGGACTCACAGCTGGGATGTTGAGGTTGGAGACAGTACAGAGTGTTCCCTTGGTGTGTTAGCAGAGTCGGTCCAGAGGAAGGGACGCATACAGTCTGGATTGTGGAGAATAATGTTCTTTAAAAGTAAATACTTTGCATCGTCACCACCAGCTCCACTCACTGTTCTTGAAGTACAGAAGAAGCTCCAGAGGATCAGAGTGAATCTGGACTGGAACAGAGGAAAGCTGTCATTCTATGATACTGATACTAACACACACATACACACCTTCACACGCACTTTCACTGAGAGACTGTTTCCATACATTGGCACTAAAGATGAGCTGAAGATATTACCACTGAAGATCAGTGTGACAGGTAAACTGGGCAGTTAGAGATGAAGAGGATGATTATATTGGTGATGTTTAAGGAAAAGTCACTGAATTTAACTCTTTAAATTCAAGTTTAATGCTGTTTGGACATCATTTACTTATGGCCAAATTTTGAGAAAGGTTGATGCACCTGTTTGGATCTGTGGCGCCCCCCACGGAGCAATTTCAAAATTACTTTGCTTAAGTGGTTCAACATTATTGTTTACTATCAGAAACAGAATCAGAAATACTTTATTGATCGCTGGGGGGAAATTATGATTCACTATGTTACATCCTGCAAGTTTTTGGAAAATTAAACAAACATTTTATGATTTTCAGTCTGATTTGTGATGTCCCATATCCATTTCTTTACATTTTTGGCACCCCCTAGTGGTTGATTTGAATGAAACTTTCAGGGTGTGTTGCTGGTACGTCTTCAGACATTTCCTGCAATTTGTAATAATTGGCCTAATGGTTATAGAGTTAGGTCTGTTTATGTAAAGGACCACTCCCCCTCCAAAATTCATTGTTCAGTGTCTTCAGCAGGCAATTCAATAAATCAAGAAGCTTTTGATACCTTTTGTTAAGCTAGATCCGATAATGATCCACAGAAAGTTTTTTTTACAAATTGGAACTATGATTTAGGAGGAGAAGTCAAAAATGTGTTTTTCAAAAATTTCAAAATGGCAGAAAATGTTACAGTGGGACCTTAATGATGGTTGTGTGTTTTTCGTGGACCTTGTTTGGTTGGACTTGTGTGTCAAATATCAAGTCATTCAGACTTACGGTGTGAGGGGCATGGCCTTTTGTGCCCCCATCTTACCAGTTGGCGTCATATTTCTTCCAATCGTTGGTGAAAATTTCATGTGTTTACAATGCATCACCTCATGGAAATTTGTGAAAACATTTCTGAAGGAAAGAAGAAAAAAAAGAAGTCAAAGCAAAAACAATAGAATTTTAGCCCTGTGGTCTTGAACCCCTTAATATGGCAGTATAAAAAATTGACAAAAAATCTTGTTAATCTAATTCTTACTTAAAAGGTTCTTTAATCTTATGCCAAAATCATTCCACATAAACATAATTTATATGGTGAAAACTTGTTTATAAGAACATCACAAATGTGGGTGGCTGTGGCTCAGGAGATCAGGCAGGTTTTCCAGTGATCACATGGTTGGAGGTTCAGTCCCCAGCTCCACCAATCTGCATATTAAAATGGCGAGACCATGTATCCCACATTGCTCCCCAATGTTGACCTGCTGCCATCATTGTGTGAGTGTGAATGTGTGAGAATGAAAGGAAACAAATGTGAGAAGAAAAAAAAGACAGAGGAAATACTTGTTATAATTGCATTTACTAAATAATGACAGTAAAATTAATGATTAACATGAACACATTATTCCAGTAGAAATCTCTTGTGGTCATTTGGCAATCTCTGCTGGGAGAGTGAAACGATGTTTTTCTGATATGAACTACTGATACCACTTTCACACTATATGTCATGGAAGCTGTTACCTTTAAGATGGCCCATTCCCCAAATCCCTTTTTACCCATTACCTATGATACTGCATCATATGTCCTCCTTTCCTGTGATACTCCAAGATACCTCATGATTACAGAAAGACCAAAGACCATCATTCCCATAATAATCCAGGCTGTCTCTTTCGGGATGTATTCTATGGTTCCTATTCAGATGCTCAAATAAATATGGCACACTGTTTTCTTGTTCCAGTTTCCGCTTTCATTTTTCATTGAAGTGACATTTCAATCACAAGAAGTTTTCCTTCCTAAGGTCTGAGAGCAACAAAGGTATGTACTGAGATAGTTGCAGTTATCCTGTACAGATTGTTGTTACTCAGCACCTGCGAAAAAAATGTACCGCTGTGAGGGTCATAAGGACAGAGGGATGTCTTATGCTGTAAAGCCCTGTGAGGCAAATTGTGATTTGTGATATTGGGCTTTATAAATAAAATTGATTGATTGATTGATGATTACAATTCAACTGTTCCCCTTACCACCTTATCTAAAACACTCCATGGAACGTTACTTAAAACATTCCATCGCACCCCTTAACTTACACACCCAATGGAACTTCTAAGCAAAAATACCCCATGTACCCCTTACCTTAAAATACTCAATTTACCCCTTGCCAAAAAAAATCCCTTAGTACCCCTCACTGAAAACACCCCATTTACCCCTTACCTAAAATACCCCATGTTACCCCTTACCTTAAATAAACAACAGTACCCCATGGTAACCCTTATTAAAATATCCCATGGTACCCCTTACCTAAAATACTGAATTTACCTTTTGCATAAAATATCCCATGGTAACCCTTCCTAGAAATGCCCTGTGAAACCCCTTCCCTAAAATACCCCATTGTACCTCTTACTGAAAATTACCCATAGTACCCCTTACCTGAAATACCCCATGGTACCCCTTACCTGAAATATTCAATAAAATCCTTTACCTAGTCACTCAATAAGTAGGTAAGGGGTACCTATTGCCTTGAATATTTCAGGTAAGGGGTACCATGGGGTATTTTAGGGTAAGAGGTAGTGTAGAGTATTTTAGGTAAGGGCTACCATTGACATCTTGAGAAAGGGGTACTGTAGAATATTGTAGGTAATGGGTACCATTTGTTATTTTAGGTAAAGGGTTTTGTTGAGTATTTCAGGTAAGGGGTCCCATGGGGTATTTCAGGTAAGGGGTAGTATGATGTAATTTTGGCAAGGGGTTAATGGGACATGTTATGTAAGGGGTATTGTGGGTAATTTTCAGTAAGAGGTACAATGGAGTACTTTAGGGAAGGGGTTTCACGGGGTATTTCTAGGAAGGGTTACTATGGAATATATTATGCAAAAGGTAAATTGAGTATGGTAGGTAAGGGGTACGATGGAATGTTTTAGGTAAGGAGTAACATGGGGTATTTAAGGTAAGGAGTAATTGGGGTGTTTTCAGTGAGGGGTACTTTCTCAAGATGTCCATGGTAGCCCTTACCTAAAATACTCTACAGTACCTCTTACCCTAAAATACCCCATTGTACCCCTTAGCTAAAACATGAAATAGAACACTAAAATATTCCATGGTACCCTCATAAGATTGCATGGCCCCACTCATATAACATAGTACCTTTACATACAGTAGCCCATGGTACCCCTTAGTTAAAATACTTCATCTTATCCATTACCTAAAATACCCCATGTTAACCCTTAGAAAAAATATCATAGTACACACTAAGTAAAATATTATAATGCGTATTGGCTCAATCATTGAATAGTACCCCTGCCAAAAAAAATCATAGAACACTAACTAAAATATTCCATGGTACCCTCATAAGATTGCATGGCCCCACTCATATAACATAGTACCTTTACATACAGTAGCCCATGGTACCCCTTACTTACATTATCACATGCTACCCATTCTATGGTATCCTTGACGTGCTAAAGTCCTTTGTGCTCCTTCCTTAAAAAGCTTCATGGGACCCCTTCACCTCCGTATTCAGTGCTGCCTATTTCATGATACCTGTTATGGTACTTGAAATGTTCCATGGTACATGTTACTTTTAATATTTATGGGCACCTCTTTCATTTAAAAGTTTGTTACCCACCATTAGTGATGTGACATTCGCGAACGAGCCGAGTCTTTGAACCGGCTCTGTGAAGTGAACGAGCCAGTTCCTAATTCACGTTGTGTTGATGACCCCCCTCAGTTAGAAACTAAAGGTAGGAAGCTAACCCACTATCAGCACTTGCTTGTATTGGCAGGCTTGTTGTTTATAAAGGGCGTTGCTATGGCTACACCAAACTTTATATGTGTAGGGTCTATTCTGGGTCCACGTTACAATATCCAGATCATGTGATGTGATAAATCAGCAATGCGATTCGTCGTTGAATCCACTAACACCCGCCCTCCACACACACACACACACACACACACACACACACACAGCAACAACCTAAATTATATTTTAACTCCTCCACTACATTCAACCTATGAACAAACTACTTTTGAACATAAACATGCTTCTGCAACAACCTGCTGCAAACTATCAGTCTACATACCCAGCAGTGAATCAGTACTTTGGTATGGGACACACCTGTGTTACAGGTACAGCAACACCTTTTAGCAGAAGGGGTGTGACAAAGCTCCACCCCTCACCTGACACAAAACAGAAAACAGTTTGTTCCCCTTCCTCACTGAAGAGAGACACAGACTGAAGGACAGCCGATCAGACTCACCTTCAGACCAAACTAACAACTTCCTCTGAGTGAGTTCAGCTAAAACTCCAACACTGCTGCTTCAACCTGCTGACACTCCACACACTGAAGGTGAGTTTGACTAAAAACACCACTCAAAGTAAATTTCAGTGAAGTTAGTAGAGGAGGGAGGGGAGCCATGACTGACTGTACTTTCTGTCTGCTGTGTTTTCAGCTTCACTTAGAGACTAAATGGCTTCCAGATCAGAGGAGGATCTCTGCTGTCCGGTCTGTCAGGACGTCTTTAGACATCCTGTTGTTCTATCATGTAGCCACAGCTTCTGTAAAGACTGTCTGAAGAGCTGGTGGAAAGAGAAACAAACACGGGAGTGTCCAGTTTGTAAGAGAAGATCTTCAAGGGCTGAACCACCTTTAAACCTGGCGTTAAAGAACCTGTGTGAGGCCTTCTTACAGGAGAGAGATCAGAGAGCTTCAGAGGCTCTCTGCAGTCTGCACTCTGAGAAACTCAAACTCTTCTGTCTGGACCATCAGCAGCCAGTGTGTGTCGTCTGCAGAGATTCAGAAAAACACACCAAGCACAGATTCAGACCCGTCGATGAAGCTGCACGACAACACAAGAAGGAAGTTGAGGAAACTCTGGAGCCCTTAAAGGAGAAGTTAAAGGTTTGTGAACAAGTTAAAGTGAAGTGTGAACAAACAGCACAACACATGAAGGTCCAGGCCCGACGCACAGAGAGGCAGATTAAGGAGCAGTTTAAGAAGCTTCACCAGTTTCTAGAAGAGGAAGAGGAGGCCAGGATGGCTGCACTGAGGGAGGAAGAGGAGCAGAAGAGTCAGATGATGAAGGAGAAGATGGAGGCTCTGAGCAGAGAGATAGCAGCTCTTTCAGACACAGTCAGAGCCACAGAGGACGAGCTGAGAGCTGAAGACGTCTCATTCCTGCTCAACTACAAGGCTGCAGTGGACAGAGTCCAGCAGCGCCCCCTGCTGGATGATCCACAGCTGCTCTCAGGAGCTCTGATAGACGAGGCCAAACACCTGGGCAACCTGACCTTCAACATCTGGAACAAGATGAAGGAC